GCGGCTTCGCTTAAAATTTAAATTTATAAATCAATAATGAAATAATCATAGTATAACGCTTATCATTTAAATGTCCATTCGGACGAACGAATGTATGATATTTTATAAATTATTTTTAGGGTTGACAATATTATTGACCGAATGGCTTTGGATGCCTARATTGCATTACATCTGTTTTTCGTATAATTTTCTGCAAGACCAGACGCAATTAATAGCAAAAAAAATGTCAACTGTAATAAAATTCGTATAAATTGTCTCGTTTGACGAGTACTTTATATGTATATTGTTTCTAAAAACTATTCATTTGCTGATGTGKTAGCATTCCATTCTGACACGGCACGAGCATCTGTTATTGTAGTGTTCAATTCTTCACAATGCCACAATTAATATATTTATATTGTTTAGGAACGTAAAAGTGACTTGTGAGACGAGATTTATCAAATTTCAACTACAGCAGAGACGTAAGAATATGTAGAGTATGTATAGAGTATGTAGGTACATACAAGATAWAAGATCACCCTATATTATAATATTTTCAGTTTTCTTTCTATGAAGTGATCAATGGTGGTAAGTTGCTAACTGTTAAGCGATTCATCTAATAGTTAAAAATTTTATACATTAATTTAAAACAAAATATGGAAACAAAACTTTGAATTTGTCCACACTTACTGGGACCAAGGCAAGTCTAAATTTGTTTTGATATCTTTTATAATTRTAATAAAAGAGTGGGTAAACTTATACAATAATGTAGCAAATATAGTATAACATATAAAGTTTCAGAAAAAACCAAAATATCAGACAATAAAGTAATGATTTCTGTAGAAGTAGCGAATATTCGATTTGCGAAACGAATATGCAATCGAGCACCAGTGATGCCCAGACGGGTCAGACGGTGACATGACACCTAGCCTAACCAGTTAACGCATATTCATGTTACCATATACCACAATGACCGGTACGTAAGTATATTGTGTATAGTACCTTGTACCTATGACAACTGTGAGTGTGCTTACCTGTGGTATGGAACCATTTGCGGGGGGTGACAGACTGTTCCGTGACGTAGTGTGGACGGCGGTGGACCGATGTGAGACGGAGTGCTCGATTCGCCGTCGGGTTTTGTTTAACTTGTGGAATATCCTCTGGTAGTGGTAGACGAACAGTGACAGTGGTAGGATGCAGGAAAGCGAAACTACGGACACGGTGAACACGATGGACATTTTGAACGTGTCGTTCTTGGGGAACACCAGTGTACATACGTTGACTGCGGTGTCGCCCATCACGGCCTGCTCGTGGAACCAGAATGGCACTGGCATGAACACCGTCAGCGCGATCAGCCACGTGAGCACAGTAAGCACGGTGGCACGGCGTGGTGTCAGCTGTGACCGGTATGGTGGTACGACGATGCACCGGTGCCGGTCCATGCTGATCAGTGTCAGCGTCCATAGTAGCACAAAACCACACACAAACTGTGAAAATGACGAAACACCATGGTTATAATATTATTTCAAAACCATAACACAGTATTTTATCAAAATATATTTAAATATTTTCCTGTATATAATTAAACTAATGACTATTTTATATAGATATTAAGTTTGCTGTACAGTGTTYCATTATCATATCTTAGAGCAGGTATCGAATTTGCCAAAATTAGAGTTAAGGCGAATTTTTTTTGTGAGTGGTACAAATAAATCATACAAAAATATCTATATAGTATACAATATACAAATATTTACTTTTATTATTGTCATCATTTAAAAAATKTATTATTAATCAACTAATGAAGTAATAATAGTAATATTAAGTATAAGAAAAAATTATTGAATGAAAACCAAAAATATTGATATAAAATATAAATAATAGAAGTAAATTTAATAAGAAATTAAGACTGTTTTTTTCTTATAAAGTCCATAATCCGCGCATTGTTCAATTTTTGGGTATGCATCGTTTGCTTAAATTTTAAAGGAGAAAAAGTGTATTGAAACCTTTTAAACTGGGCTTGAMAATTCATATAAATRGTMTAAAAGTTGACAAAAAAATGTTAAGTGTGGAAATCACCAGCTGTGCCTGGCCATTTTCATACATATTTCACTTGTTTTTGAATTCTGCGTTGAAAGGATTCTCAAGCGAATTTCAAAACTAAGCAAGATAGTACAAGATAGTACGGAATCTGCAGTAAACTACACTAAAAAAAAAAAAACATTAGTTTTAAAT